AATTTGGTGTTTAGGATTGGATTGGGATGACAAATTGCCCAAACAACTAGAAGTTTCATGGAATAAATGGTGTAAAGAGATTCATTATTTAAGTGAAATAAAAATTCCTCGATATTACTTTCAAAACTTTTTGCCTTCAAATGCAACCACCATTCAGTTGCATTGCTTTTCAGATTTTTCCAAAAGGGCATATGGAACTGTCGCTTATGTACGCATAGAACTGAAAGATGGAAATATTAATTCTAGTTTTGTAGCATCAAAAGGTCGGGTAGCTCCATTAAAAACTCTTTCGATCCCTAGACTGGAGCTTATGGGCGCACTTTTATCTGCAAGGTTGTACACTTCTCAGGTATGCTCTCTCCTCTGCTCGGCACCTAAGTGACAAAATTGCAACTGCACTCATACTGCCTGTGAGTCGTTTTTATTGGACTGATTCGTCTATAACATGTTACTGGATCAAGGGAGATTTTAATAAATATAAAGTGTTTGTAAAGAATAGAATTAAAGAAATACAAAAACTAAGTGATCCCAAGGAATGGCGCTACTGTAAAGGAAAGGATAATCCCGCTGATTTAATAAGTCGGGGTTTGCCTTTAAATGATCTTAAAAATAACAAAATATGGTGGCATGGTCCCAAGTGGTTGACAATGAAACAAACAGAATGGCCATTATTTTCAGAACCTATAATTGAAACCGAAATAAACAACGATAAATTAGAATTGAAGAAATCAATTAATGTAAATACAGCGGTTGAAAAGAGGCAAATTGAAAATAATTTAATCTCTAGATATTCCTCTTTTAGTAAATTAATTAGAATAAACGCTGTATGTTTAAGATTTATTTATAACTGTAAAGTGAACCCAGAGTATTAAGGAAAATAGACTGTATAAGTGCTTCTGAATTTGATCATGTTACGAAAGTTTTAGTAAAACAAGTACAATTAAATGAATTTTTAACTGAAATAAAGTGTCTCAAAAACGGACAACCGATTCCAAAGGGCAGCAAAATATCATCTTTAAACGTTTTTTTGGACGAAGATGAAATACTGAGAGTGGGAGGTAGATTGAAACATTCGACTCTATCTGAATTCCAAAAACATCAAATGATGTTGCCAAAGGCTCATCATTTAACTGATTTAATAATTGAATACTATCACAAGAAATCATTACATTCTGGCTTGCAAACCACATTATATTTAATAAGACAGTTTTATTGGATCCCATCGGTTCAGAACCGTGTAAGAAGAAGATTAAATAAATGTATTACGTGTTTTCGCACGAAAACCCAGACAATAAATCAGATGATGGGAGATTTACCACGAGACAGAATTGTGCCTTCTAGACCCTTCGAAAAAGTTGGATTGGGTTACGCTGGTCCTATAATCACGAAACTAAATTTAAAAAGATCAAGAGTGACTTTAAAATCGTATATTGCCATTTTCATCTGTTTCAGTACAAAAGCCACTCATTTAGAAGTTATTTCCGACTTGATCACAGAAGCCTTCCTAGCATGTCTCCGACGATTTATAGCAAGGAGATCCAAGCCATCCGTCATTTGGAGTGACAATGCAACGAACTTCAAGGGAGCAAGAAACATTCTTAATGAATGGAACGAAATTTGCAAGTCCAACAGAATTCAGCTATTCAGCGCGGCAGAGGGAATCGAATGGAACTTCATTCCACCCGCTTCTCCCCATTTCGGTGGATTGTGGGAAGCAAACATTGTCCATGAAACGCATTTTATTGAGGGTAGCGAAATCAGCTATCATGAACTTCGAAGAGTTAACTACGTTGATGGCACAAATCGAAGCAGTTCTGAATTCACGTCCCTTGTCTCCACTTTCTTCGGACCCCAATGATCTTAACCCTTTGACCCCGGGGCATTTCTTGACGAACTGTGCAATTTCATCCTTTCCTGAACCTTATACTGCTTCGGATTCTTTGTCCTATCATTCCAGGTGGAAACTCATTCAATCCCTGAGACAAATTTTGGAACCGTTGGAGCAGCGAATATCTGACCCATCTTCAGACCCGTGCTAAGTGGAGTGTACAGAACCCTAACTTGATGGAGAATCAGCTAGTTCTTTTAAAGGATCCCAACACCAAGCCCTTGGACTGGCCTATGGGGCGTATTCTTGAAGTATTTCCTGGTAGTGATGGTCTTGTAAGAGTAGTTAATGTGAAAACCTCAACAGGTATTTTAAAACGAGCCATCACAAAGGTAGTGCCTTTACCTATTCCAGTTGATCCTGCAACTGTAGAAAAGAACATTTGAACATTTTACAATTTCTTGAACTTTAACCTTTACATTATTCTATTTGCATAATTGCTAATTTGATTTTTCAGTATTATTGATAACTCATGTGATTTAAGAATTTCTAATTTTATTTCAGAATTATTGATAATGCATGTGATTTAAGAATTGCTAATTTTATTTCAGAATTATTAATGATGCATGTGATTTGAGAATTGAATTTATAGGATTTTATTTTTATTATTTCACATTGCATGAATTTTATTTGTATTATTTCATTTTGCATGAATTTTACTTGAATTCCCTTAGAATTTTAATTATCTTAATGTAAACTCCGCAGTAATGGTAGAACCCCTCTCAGTATAGAGGGCGCTGCTTGTAAAAACATGCTTTGTTTACACCAGAGATCTTGTGTACGTGACCGAGTGCAGACGCACTCCATATTCCATTAAACTTATTATTTAATCTTACACTTGTCTTCGATGATTTATTGAATTTAATTGAGTCTAATGATTGTGATGATATGAGCGTTGATTGATATAAAAGCATTCTACCACTGATTAACTGAACCACCGATGATAGTATATATATAACACATATCTTTTACTATGGATGGTACATGATTTTCTGAGGGTACGACTTTCATTCCTCCTCCTTTTCTGTTTGGAGTGCCCAAAAAGCAAGAGGCAATCAGATGTTTTTAAAGTTTAAAAAAATATTCAGAACGGTTAAGATATACTTAATCGTTTGCGAATGGCAGCACTATCAAATTTCAACAATGAATAACGAAAGATCAATTAGGAAGGAACACCGTAGTTTTCAAGAAAATGGCAACAGTAATATTTTAAACATTATTTGAGCATTACATTGTTATATTATTTAAATATTATTACATTATCTATGTCTGTATACATGAAAAATAATGAAAACAATAATAATAATTCATTCTGTTTTAAATTTTCACTCCAATAAATGTATTTTTTTTTCTAAATCTGCTATAAAGGTACATATTTTTATGTGCGGCCCGCGCGAGATATTTTTCCGAAATGGCCCGCAAGGTCATTTGGGTTCGCCACCCCTGACTTACGTTATCGTTCTATGAATTGCAATTCACAACTGTTTTGAAGTAAAATGTATTGTAACTTTTAGGAATTATTACTGTATTTCACAACAAGATGCATTTAAAGTATTTTAGTGCAGTTTAAACGAAGAACAAAATCTAAATTGTGACTCGTATAAGCTCATACTCATTAAAATATTTGGGATAATTGGAATTTTGCTTATGGGGATTTCAGGAAGTTGAAAATATTCTCCAGATTCTGGAAGCTTCTTTCAGTTCAAAATAGAGGACAAACCTACTTAATATATTCTGCTAATCATGATTTTATTCTGCATTATCACAAAACTTTTTAAAGACTGTACTTTAAAGTCGCTTTACTTTAAATGTGCTTAAAATAATGCTCTAACATCATGTACATTGAAAATAATTGTATTTACAAATATTTTTGCATTTCTTTTTTAGCTCTTTTCTGGAAATGATTCAAATACAGATGTCAGAACTACAATTCTGCACTACTTACTACTATATGAATAGTTTATATCAGTAATTCCCAAAGTGGTCTATATAGACCCGAGGATCTATGACAACCTGCAAAGGGTTCATTCCAATGAAAAAATAATTTGGGGGTCCATGACGTGTAAATAGGGGTCCATTATAGACACTAGCGCACATAGGAATTTTTCAAGGGTGGGATGGGGGTTCAGGGTCGAAAGTCCAGCATTCTTGTATCATGCTCCATTTGATCTTGTCGATTTTCGGGAACAAAAATCAGTATAACTAATTATTGAATAAATAATCAGCATTAATTAATAAAATCAATCTCTCTCATTAATAACAAATACTTTATAAAATTTTACGTACTTCATATTTAGAATTATAATCAACCGGAAAAAAATCAAGCGCTTTGGGGGGTGGGGGTCGGACTCTTCCCTTGTTTGCGCCATGGATCATACCTTTCTCCAACCCGGCTGAGGAAAGCCCGTCAAACTTTGTCAGCGAGGAAGCTGATGGTCAGTCTTTTGGGATGCCCAAGGAGTCTTGCTTATCGGATTAATGACACGTAGAACTACAATAAATTCTGAAGTTTACTGTCACTCGTTGAAGAAACTGAAAAGAGCCATCCAAAACAAACGTCGCGGCCTACTGAGTTCTGGGGTTGAGCTTCTGCACCATAACGCGCGATCTCCCACTGCAGCAAAAACACGAGAGGTTTTACGCAAATTCAAATGGGATGCGTTTCAACATCTTCCTTCTACCATCTGTTCACTGCAATGAAGAAGTGGGCTTGGGGATAGCATTTCGCTGACGATGAGGAAATTAAAGGTACTGTGACACATTGGTTTAAATCGCAGGTGGTCGCTTTTTTACATTAGGAATTGGTAAAACGGAACGACAAAAGCTTGAAAAAAGGGGTGGGGGAGTCTCGTACCTTTGATTATTTTTTCCCTCTGTGTGTGTGTGTGTCCTGGTTTTTTTTTTTTTTTTTTTTTTTTACGATTCGGGGTTACTTTCCGATTTGCAATCGAATGTATGACAGAATAACGATATTAAGTGACAAAATAGAAAGGGATTTTCCATTCTTTAAATGGGTGTTGGACTATTTTTTTTTTTTACTATTTATTCATTAGTTTTTATTGTTCTAATAAAATAGTGTATTGAAAAGAAATCACATTCTCAGAAATTACGCCATCCCAGATTCACATTCGAACTCATGACCTTTGGATTAATAGTTCAACACGCTATCCATTGCGCTACAGGGACACAACGAACGATTTTCCTTTCTATATATGCCGTTTGACCATTATTTTTGTTTATTATTATTTATTCCTTTTCTAATTTAATCAACGAATTCTTTTTGAAAAAACTGTATTATCATGTGTCATCTACTACAAGTTTAAAAAAATGTATTTGAACTTGAATGGATGAATAGATATTTTATTAACGAGAGATAGAAAATTTGAACAAGATATATATATATATCTTGTGTATGTATGTATATATATATAAATATATTTAGGGAGAGAGTGAACTAATAGTAGGAATTGAAAAAAGTATTTACTTAAAGAGGTAATCAATGAATTGGAGCATCCACAGTCTTCCATCATGGGCCAAACAGCATAAAAAATAACCTTTAAACCAGAAGCAAAAAGAAAAACTGAAAATAGCAAGAAAATATGATTCAAACCTCTTGAAACTTGGATTCATTCAAAAGCTTGGTAGAGAGCTGGATCCACAGCCATTATGTATTATCTGTTCTGAGAGTTTATGTACCTTCCAAACTCGAAAGACTCTTGAAAAATCAAAACACCTAGATCTTGGTAAGGAACCATTTGAATTGTTTCAAAGATTGCATGAAAATATAAGCAACCAAGTGCTTTAAAAAATATTGTTGTTTTAGATGTCTTTATTAAAGGCTTCCTATCTGATAAAAAATAAAAAGCAATATATGATTGGAGAATAATTACTCTAGCCTTGCATGTAGTTAGCCTGTGAAGAGGTTCTGGGTAAAAAAAGCTGCACAAAAACTGAAAGTAATTCTTTTGCCTGCAAACATTACATAGAACAGATGAAGATATTCACAATCAAGTTATAAAAACGGTATAACATTCACCAATTTATTCAATTAAATTTGATGAATTTGCAGACAAAAGTATCAAGGCCCTTTATTTTGTGAGGTTTGAATGTAAAGGAAAATTACAGGAAAAACTACATTGCTCACACAACTTGCTGGTTAGAACAATGAGCTTTAAGGTACTTAAAAAACACTTGATATTTATTTTCTAGAACACAGAACTGAATGGGAAAAAATTTATCGGGATATGTACAGATGGTGATGCAAAGATAACAAGATATAGCTTAGGAGTTGTCACGAAGTGAAAAATCCATACATTGTTGTCGCATTGCATAATACATCATAAGCACCTTGAGGTAAAAAATATTCTCGGAGCTACACCAAATATTATCAGATGTTACTAAAATCCTAAAAGAAATTTGACACACACAGCATAATTCTTCAATAATTGAAACAATGTGAAAAAATAAGTTACCAGCATATTCACCTTCATGCCGAGGACAAAATACTGAACTGACTGTTCCTTCTGCATGAAGAAATCAAATTTTTTCACAGCAAAATAATTGGGAATTTCAAGAATTTTTGTCCAACAATGAGCAGGTAGTCAAGCTTGCATACCTGACAAAAGAGTTTTCTATGTCAAACGAGCTAAACATATACTTCAAAGGAAAACATAAGGACGTGTTTACAGTATGATACAAAATAGATGATTTTCAAAAGAATAAAAAAACTCACTGTAGAAAAAGCTGTTGGCAGAAGGAGATCTACAAATGCTTCTAATTTTTAATGAATATATAGGAGAGAAGGATCTCAACCAGTATTCAACAGCGCAGTCACTGAGAGAATTTTTTTTTACTACCCAAAGGATAATCCTAGGCATGGAAACATGTGGATAATAGATCAATTTTCAGCAAACATTGAATAAAGCAAACTAAGCCTGAATAAAAAAGAAAGCCACAATGATCTTTCTTATGACAGTTTAAAAACTTAATTCTACTAATCTTTATCAAGACCTCATTTTGGGCTGTATATAAAAATATGCATCACTGAGTGAAAAAGCGATGAAAATTTCGATTCACATTTCAACAACATATTTGTGTAAAACCATTTTCATCTGTTAAAGCAATCAAAGTCAGTACCGTCTTTGCTTGAAAAAAATAATATGGTTTATCTTACAGTGATGCGATTGTTACCAAAAATCCAAATTGATTTCAAAGAAACATCACACTAAAAAATGCAATACTTTAGGAAATGAAATAAGTTTACTGAAAAATAATTACTTTCTGCAGTTTCAAATTCTACTGGATATTAAAAGATGAGTATTCTACACACAGATGGTCAAGGTTCTAGTAAGAATGATTCCTTCACGTCATACAACAACCATTTAGTCTTCTGATGGGTGTACTTTCTTTGATTTGTGAGGTACCATTTTTATTTCTATTTTAGGTTTAAATTTTGGTACAGTTACCAAATTCAATTTTCATTCTACTAACCATTTACCCTTTCAAATTCTTATTTACTTCTTGTAACCTTTCCCAATACTTGTCTTAATTTTTTTTCTGTACATATTGTGTTTAAATTCTGTTTTTGATTGAATAACTCAGTACTTTTGGAAACATTACAGTGTGCACTCTTTCAATTAAAATACTTCAAAAATTGCGTAAACAGTTTTCACAATAAAATAATATTACAAATTATAAACATGACTGTCTGTTTCTGACCATGCATGATCAAGATTGTATTTGAACATGTTAACAAGAACAGAGTTTTCCACTATTGCCTGCATATTATGGCATTTGGCTATGTCTTGATTTGAAGTTGGTCAATGTTAAGTACCAAATTTCTTAAAGTTTTACTTAGTAAAATGCTTTGTAAGTGTTAGTGCAAATTTCTGCATTTCACTTGCACATGACAGTGACTTTCTAGATGCTGCTCTGTAACATTCAGTGGAATTAAAAAAAAAACCATAACATACATACCTAGTTCCATTAAAGTCTATCTAGTACTTCTGGAGATAATCCAACAAAAGTGATACTTTAATTTTAAAAATTAGTGTATAAAGAGAACTAGAAAGTTCTATACCACCACCCAGTGCAGTTTAAAGCTCATTCCAGGCCCTGGGCACAGATCTATGGTCCCCTTTGGCACTGGAGGGGCTCTTGGATCCGGTCAACACCCGCCCAATGGATAAACCTGCACAACCATCTCCAAAAGTAATATCTGTATATAATTAGTAATTGGATAGAAAACTAAATTCATATAAAATACTAATCCGATTTTCTATATTTATATAAGAATTACTGGTATGCATCATGTTGCTTCAAATCAGGACAAAATTCATCAGCTTTCAAGAATGGGTTAATATATAATTTAGCATTTTATTTTTTAAATTAATTTTTAGAACTTTAACAGCTTGTAGTTTTGATGTTTAAGATTTCACTAAAGAAATAAAAGTGATGGCAGAAAAGAAATGATTTCAAACACATTTTAACAAACAAATTGGAATTTTAACAATATTTAAAACATAACTATGATACCGCCTAGGCTTTTAAAAAAGATAAATATATATGTAAAACATAAATTTGATTCTTTCTTAGGATTTATATATGAATTGGTGCTAATTTTCTATACAAGTGCCAAGTTGTTGTTTATGTTCAGCAAAGATGGGGGATAACATTATAATATGATTACCTTGATATTTTTATCATGCAGTAACAGAGTTGCCAGATCGTTTGATTTTTTGCGAATTTTGCTATTTTTTATCCTATTGCTACTTCACATGAAGATCCTGCTACTTTCAACCATATATAAAAGTATTAAAACAAGTTTCGAAAAAATTGCAAAAAAAAAAAACAATCAGTGACCTTAAGTCTCTAAAGAAAATATTAAGTTGCAGTATGTTTTACCACTCCGAAACACGGAGTGCTGTAATTTCTCCCCCCTCACCACCGCCAAGTATCAGAGCCTATCTATGCGAGACTCCTATTTTGTCATTTTTTCCACTGCAAGTGGTAGAAAAAAGAAATGATGGGATTCTTTAATCCTGATAGAAGCATGAAAATGAAACATGTAATATTCTTAAAAAATAGGCTTGGAGAGAATTTCTACATAAATATTAAACTGGAAAAGTAATTGTGAAAGGACAAATTCTTATAGAACTAAGTATATTGTATGATTATCATCAACAGCACTGCATTGAATTAAAGAATAAAAATCTATTTTTGTAATTAACTTACATTACATCACTGAACTTATAATTGCCTACAATGACAAAAGTAAGCACTAGTCATCTACAGAGATTGTGATAAAAATCTGATTAAATCCCTTTTGAAAGGTTTTTACCTAGATTCAGTGACTCGTACTATCTCTCATTACGGGTGGCCCAGGGATTATAGGGGGCTCAAAGCCTGACAGATTCCTAGTATATATTAGGGCTTGAAGTTTTAAAACTGACTTTGCAAGAGGCTCTAATATTCTCTGTTGCACCACTGCCTGAATTCCTCTTTCCAAGCAACTACTTCTCTTAATATCCCTTTACTTAAATTAATACAAGGATAGAATCAAATATTGTTGAATTACAGCTGCCAATTTTAGCAGAATTTGAGTGGATTAATTTTCTCTTTCAAAGTGATCATGTTGGTCATTGCAAATTACTGAATGCATTTTTGAATCCATTTTTAAGAGATTTAGCTATATTTACTTTAAAGCCTTACAACCTACCAATAAGTAATGCCACTGTAGAAAGGGCATTTTCCAGAGTGAGGTCAAAAAAGACAAAATTAAGGAATTGAATGTGCCTCAAACTCTGTTTGAGTCATTCTCAGAATCAAAATCACTTTGGAAGCATGAGGGACTTACTGCATTGATTTCATTCCATCGCTACAAATGCTTCAGTACAATTCAGAAATTTGTAAAAAAGACAAAGCAGATTACGATACTTAGCAGGAAGAATTTGAATGTATTTTAAATGAATTAAATAATTTAAGCATTTTAACGTAGTTTTACAAAATTAAAAAAATTATACTCATGAATTTCAAGAAAAAATCGATTTGCTACTTTTTTCCCCTCTTCATGTTACCTTGCTGCATAAGTTTCTGGCAACTCTGTGCATTAATGTGGTTGCCATGGGGCTAACGATTTTTAGAATTATATTTCATCTATTTTTTCCCCTGCAGTAACCTTATTAATT